TGAGCACGCATCCTGCGGACTCGGCTGACTCCAGCGATGGCGATGAGCCCCCTAGGTCCCCAGGTCGAGAGCAGCAGCCAGCAGCCTCAACATTGGATTTCCGCTGCCAGTGGCCATAATGACAGGGCATTTGCACATCATTGGTCTTGGGGGTGATATCAGCATGTTGATTTAGCTAGTTGTTCGAGGCATAGGGTAAGCTTCAGCTTCCGTGGGTGATATGAGCAGTTCGGAGCTCGGTGCCTGATGATGCGCAGACGAGCTAGTAAGACGCCACCAGACATTTCCACGGGGCAGCCGACGTTCGGCACGAGGGAGCTGCATTTGACATTTGCTGCAGAGTGTGGTCGCCATCTGCCTCGTCCATCTCGATCGCGCAAGATGCGCCGGCGAGGTCGCCTCTGCCAGCGACCGTCCAGTTCGCAGGCCTCTCGACGCAGTCGAAGGCGCCCGAGCCAACGCTGACTGGGAGGTCCCGTCGGGGCAGCGTGGCCAGAGGTCGATGATCATCGTTGGCCGCGAAAGGCGGGAACTGAGCTGCCGAGCGATCTGCCCCGCGCCTTTCGGATCCAGTCCAAGCGCGCGGGGGCCGACCTGCCAGAGGAGTTGCGCGGGCCGCCTGCGCGACGCACTCGAGCGCGCTGGCAGGGCAGGCGGTCTCAAGCGCAGGCAGTGGACTTCGATCAGGCTTGGAAAGGCGACCTCGGGCAGATCTCGCGAGGCGACGGCAGGCAGGGGGCGCCCTTTCATTCAGCGCGCATGAGGTTTTGCCACATCTGTTCCGAAACTCGGGCCAAAGGCTTCGGCGCCGGCGGCGCGGCGCAGGCGGGGGAAGACGGCGCGCTGGATAGGTCTGCCGGGCTGGCCGATCGACCATTCTTTGAGTCGTTGGCCGCTGGTATCCCGTGCTGATTCAATTTAGTTGCTGGCCCGCGGTTGGTGGGGGGGGGGGGGGGCGCCCCCCCTGCGCCGCGAGGCCCCTTCTCCCCCCTCCAGTCCCGGGGGCGAGATGCCAGCAGGGCGGCCTCGAGGGCGCGGGCGCAGACGGCAGCTGGGGGGGAATGGGGCGGGGGGCGGGGGCGGCGCATGGGTCCGTCAAGCAACCGTTGCCAGGCGTTCAGGCCTGCGCATCTAGGCGGGGCGGGCTGAGGGGCGCTGGTCGCCGCCGATCGTCGGCCAGAAAGCGATCGACCGTCTCTCGGAACAGCGGCGGCCGCCTTGGGGCGCCCCCGAGCGAGATGGAGAAGTTGGCCCCATGGACAGGGCGCTCGAGTCAAAGCTGCCGATGCATACAGCAACTCCGAGAGACGCCAAGCCACGCGCAAGGCCGCCGTGGAGCAGCTCGCCTCTGAGGCGGTTGCCCCAAAGGCTCCGATCGTAGTTCCTGGCGCTCAACGCATCAGTCTGCAGGCGATGTTGGATGGTGAAAATATCGACGTGGACGACGACGGCCTCTTCGGACTGGATCTGGAGGGGATTGAGGCCATGTTGTTGTTTGCTCGGTGGGCCGAGGTTTGCGGACTTCCGGGGGCCCGGGCGCCTGGGCGCAGCTGCCCGGGACCCCCCCGCAGAGTGAAGCGCTAGTACTTCTGCTGGGGCTCGCGCGGGCTCGGTGGGGGCAAGTGCCCCTGTTGCCGGGCTCGTGCATGCAGGCGCTCCTAGGCGCGACTATGCCTTTTTTTTTGCATTGGGCGGGGGGGCGGGCCCTGAGCGGCTGGGGTCGAGCGCCGCTGATTTCATTTTTGGGCAAGCTGGCCCCGGCGTCGGGGGCGAGGCCCGTCGCGCCGGCCTCGAACGGCCGGGAGCTCCCCGCCGGGCAACTGCGCGCCCTGGGGAAGTTTTGCAGTCGCCTGCGATCGAGCGGGGCACGTGGGTGATATGATCCGGAGGTCTGCCGGGCTCAACTGCCTCGCGGCCGCCAGCGGGGCGTCGAACTTGCCCAGGTACTCGGAATTTTCGAGTGGGGGTCCAGCCGCGGGATCTCCAGCCCGATTCCTCGGACGATTTTGTGCGGGGCCGGGCGGCCAGGTGGAAGCCGCCATCTCCGATGCTGTTGGGGCGAACGGCGCGGCGGCGGCGAGGTGCAGCCGCGAGCTGGCCCTTGCTAAGCTTGTGGCTCAGTCTGTCGTCGCGACTTTGCAGCGTAAGTTTCCACAGGTCAGGTTTCGCTGCGTGGTCGGTGATTTCCTGTTGCGAGTTATCCGAAACTCTAAGCAAATGGCTGAAGAGTTTTCCTTGGCCACGACTGAGCTAGCTAGTGCACTCCCTTCGTCGGCGACAGCTCGTTGCCAATTGTGACGAAATAAGATGCATAGCCAGCTCGCCAGATCTAGGTGAGGACCTCAATCATAATCGGGACCCCACTAGAGAGCGGCGTTGGTGCAGCAGCAGGCGCTCAGCAACGGGCGCCAACAGCGGCGGCGCCCGCTGTGCGCAGGAGCACAGCAAAGGGCTAGATAAAGCAGCGGCAGCCTCGAGGCAAGCAGGAGCTAGTCCCAGCTCGGCAAAGAGGGGGCCCCCAGTGGCGACGGCGGTTTGGGGTCTGCGGTTGCGGGCGCTGCCGTCACCGATCTCGCCGCGGGGGCCGCGGGGGGGGGGGGCCGAGCCCCTGCAGGCAGTGGCACGGACCTTCGTCTCCGGGCCACGCCCCGAAGGTGCCTCCAGAGATGCCCTTGGCAGCGCGCGTCTGCGACGTCATTGGGAATGGCGCGACCGGCGCGCGGCCCAGCATTCCAGGGCGGGGCCCGCCCCGGACTCCCCCCCAGGAGGCCAGGGCCTTTTTTGATTTGATGAGGGCGAGACCCTGGGCGTAAGTGGCGGGCCCAGCGCAGGCGGCAGTGCTCTCGCTCGCCAGGGCAAGTCGCGCCCAGCCGGAGGAAGGCATCTTCGGGCACCTTTGGCTCGGCGACTTCGAGATTTCAGATGATTGCGCTGGGTTTCGTTGTCGTCGTGGTCAGAGACCTTGCGTTGCAAGCGTCAGAACGCCTCGGAGCGGCGCGGGTCTCCCCGCTGCGTCGGGGGCCGATGGGCAAGCTCTCGGGCCCAGATTTCTCGGAGAGCTGGCCCCCGGATCAGGCTGCAGCCGCGAGGGGCCTTCATCGGGAGGGCCCCATTGGCCTCGGTCTCGGCCGCGCGCGCGCCGCAGGGCGAGTCGCGATGGGCGCGGGCACTGCGGCGCAAGAGGCGCGCTCTGGCACGGGCGTTGCGCCGCCCTCGGCGCGATGCCCCCCGAGAGCACAACGCCCTGGGCACTCTCGCCGCTCTGCCAGATTTGTCGGGCACCTGGGCGGGAAGCAGGCGTGACTATTTGTCAGACGTCGCCTTCCGCCGCCGTTTCGTTGTCCCGCTTGCGCGGGGGCCCCCGTGGAGGACCAAGTCAGGTTCGTGACAGTCTCCCCTAAGTGGAGGGTTTCGGGCGATGCGTTCCTGGGCGGGTCGGCCTTTCGCTCGCGCCTCCAGGGACTTCGCCGCGCCGGGTGGTCAGTCGCCCAGATTGGTCGCGCAGGTCAGCTGGTCGGCGCCATGCGCGGCGCGGCCCGTCTCCATGCCGCACCAGGACAAGCGGCCCGTGGCGGGGGGGGCTAGGCCTCTCGAGTGCTAACGCAGCGCACTTTAGTGAGTGGTAGATGAGAGCCCGTTTGTCATCCGCACCGCGTGCGCAGGTTACGTCGGACGTGCGCAGGACTCGAGTGTGGCTCTTGGGATAGGCGACCCCAGGGCAGCACGCGGGCCGCGAGTTGCGGCTTGGCATAGGCACGCAAGCTAGCGCGGTCAAAGTCGCTGCGCTCAGGGCTCTATCCCCAGCCACGTCTGACCGGGAAGAATTGCTCACCAGGGGCAACGCGATGGCTGAGAAATGGGCCAAGCGCGGAGCCAAACTCTGGAATGCCTCTGTTTATATATCGGTTTCGTGTCAGGTTGTGAACGGATGGTCGCTGATGTGTTTCGGCAGCATAATAGATGTCAGGATTTGTTTTGGCGAATGCGAGCTGCCTGAATCAGAGGAGCGCGTGGGCACTGGCTATTTTGTCTTATTTGCAGAGTTGCCCCTTTACATGCATTCAGATATGCCTGGAGGAAGGGTACCGTTTAGGGATTCGTCCTTGGCCGAGGGGGTCGGGTACGTGTCTCCTCCCTCCTCGCCCTTGCCTCCTCCTTCTGGTCCTTCAGAGCCTCCTGTCGAGGACGCCAGCTTTGTGTCGCGCGCGGGAATTCCCTGGGCCACCAGGGGCCACTCTTGTTCAGGCGTCTGTGCAGGTCCGTGGCCAAGAGCTCCCAGATCTCCTCTTTGTTTTAGGTCTGCGGGGCCTCAGTGCGCAAGGTAGCCAGAGGCCTCCAAGGGAACTACAAGGGTTCTAAGCATCCAGGGCTGAAGGCTCAGCACCCTCGGCCGCGGAGGAGTTTGTTCCTTGGACATTCGGGGGACTTTGCCTGAGCCTGCGGCTGCTGGTGCCGCGGCCGAGTCCCCTGGACAGTGAAGGTGATAGGGAGCAAAGGTCGGCCAAGGTCTTGACGCCAGCGTGGAGTGTGATTCCCGCGCCTGGAGAGTAGGGAGAGCAAGCAAGCTGGACACCTACTTCGCCTCCTCCTCAGCTTTGACGCAGCCAGCGTCGCCCTCTTGTATGGTTGTCATATGGGGGGCGCTCCTGTCAGAAGGACCAGGTGGAGGACGTGCAGCCTGACGAGCGTGGTTGAGCTGATGTAGCAGCCGCGAGGCGAGGGGCACCCTGTTGCGCCCGCGTGGTCAGTACCCTCAGCACCCTTCTCTTCCTCATCCCCCTTCTAATGATTATTGTTCTCCACGTTTTCGTTATCATCCTCCTCTTCCTCCGCCTCCTCCTGCTCCACGTCCTCCTCGTGCGCGCAGGCGCGCAGGTCACGAGCGCGTGTCACCACCTCCTCGACGTCATCGTTGTTGTCGTCGTCGCCGTTGCCGTCGCCCTCGCCGTCGTCGTCGCCGTCGCCGTCGCCGTCGTCGTCCGCCCCCCTGGCGAGGGAGCACCTGGTCGTCTTCGAGCTCCCGCGCGTGACCGGCGCGGGCGCGCCGCACAGCTTCCGCGTCGCGGAGGTCCGCGCGGGCGCGGGCGCGGGCGCGGCCTGAGCTGGCGCAGGGCCCGCCGCGCACCGCCGACGGCCCACCGTCGGCGGCGCAGGGCCCGCGGGGCGCGCCCTGGGCGGCGCCTGCGCGGCGGCTGTGCTCGGCTTGGCGGCGCCTGCGGCCGGGAACTTTGGCTCAGCGCATCGCAGCGCCGGCTCTCGGCTGGAGAGGCCGCCTCTCGGATCCTTCCCCCCACGCACGAAGAGTAGGGCGGCCATGTCCGCCGTGCTTGCGACGTCGCCCAGGAAGCATAGAGTCGACGCGCCCAGTAAGGACGCGCGCCTTCACGTAGG